CCGTACCATGGTATGTGATTGGCTGGCCAAAATGACTGACAGGGGCACTCGTGGTGCATTGGTCGGTAGTGAAAAGATTTAATCATTTAATCTCTTTACTGTGCACATTTTAATCCGCTTAGTAGAATATTTATATTGAATTTTACAACTAAACGGAAATTTTAGCAGCTGAGCATAAAAAGAATAGGAGCATAACGCATCTGAAGGTCATAAACAATATTAATTTAAACATATTATGTAAACTGTATATTGCTGGTATTGGTATTCTAAAGTCTTATACTACTGTTTGTGCTATTATATCATTATTAATTTCTTTAGATACGCGATTCCATACTGTATTATATTCCCTATTAATCAAATTCTAAAAGTATGCTTTTGTTTGCTCCAATAACGAACATATTCGCAGAAAAGTTTAAAACGATCACTTTTCACAAAGTATATAAACATACAGTAACATGGTCAGAAGGAGCACGTAAAAACGTTTCTGAAATAACCACATGTAAGACTTGATGCTTAAAATGTTTAGGGAGAAATGAAATACTGGTGTGTATTTTTTCTTGAAACTACCAAGACCTACAATATACAGTATACATAATATGTTTATGTTCCTAAATTAATATAGTTTATGAGCATGTAAAAGGCATGGTAAATCGGAGATTCTCAAGACTTACTTTGTATGATTGGAAACGAATACGTGATGGGATCAACGAAATGCTGTGGTGTTACTTTTTGTCAGAGAAAAAATAGTCTTTTCCATTTACAAAAACGATTACAAAGTATGTGGACCAAGGTAATACTTTGAGTTTACAGCTTGTCCAAGGTCATTCATTATTAACACTATTAGTAATATCTTCGGTAAAGACTTTGATGCATAAAATATTTCTGCATAATTAAAATATTTATGATAAAGGTGGTAGGTTTTGTACATTAGTCCAACTGAGCAATCTTGCTTTCATAAAATATACCAACTTTTTGATGTAGAATGATTAACGTGCTGTAACACACAGTTTAAATTTAAAAGTCTAAAGAGTATACAACTTAAATTCTTAACTGAATATTGTCCCTCAGCAGTGATCGGGATTCTAAACTGGGTGTTTTCTGGCGACAGCTCAAAAGCTTTACAATGAGAGGTTAAGCTTTATTAGCTTCACCTGATGGTAACTCTGGATACTATTATCATAACTGCGGTATGATGGGATATGACGTGTTATGACGCATTACGACACGTTAAACTACGACACTGCGTTTTACCACAGCGTACCTCACTTGTTTTGAATGGCTGCATCTGTATCAGCAAGAGGAACAATTTAACTTTATTTCCCACTCCAAACTATTTCCAGAAGCAACCAACACACATGAACACATCAAAAACATGATCATACTTGTACAATAATGTCATAGAATATACCGTAGATATAGTCGATAAGTACTCTATACACAGCATGTACAAACACTATTAAAATTTAAAAAAATGAAGTTTAAGAAAATAGTAAGATTGTAGGTACAACATGACTTCAGCACAATTCTAAAGAAAAAGGTTAAAATTGTGCAAAGATCTTCAGTAAAAGTAAAAGGAGAATGAAGATTCTGAAATGTTGCTACCTAGGGTGAAGGTGAGGAGAAGATCTATTTTTGGATTTTGAAATGTAATTTAATGAATGCACACTAAGAAGAGAAAATCCAAAGGTTTACATCATGACTACAATAATAATAAATGTTATGTTTTGTCAGTACTGAACATATTGTTTAAACATCCACAGTCGAGTCTGGAACAAATATGTGAACCCTTGTATTTAGTAACTGGTAGAACCTCCTTTAGCAGCAGTAACCTTCACTAAACATTTCCTGTAGCTGCTGTTCAGACTTGCACAATGGTTAGGAGGAATTTTAGATGATTCTTCTTTACAAACCTGTTTCAGTTCATTGATATTTCTGTAATTCCTTGCGTGAACAGCTCTCTTTAGGTCATGCCACAGCATCTCAATTGGGTTGAGGTCTGGACTCTGACTTGGCCATTCTAGAACACGTCTTCTGCTTAAGCCATTCTGATGTTGATTTACTCCTGTGTTTCGGGTCATTGTCCTGTTGTATCACCCAACTTCTATTAAGCTTCAGGTGACGGACTGCTACCCTGGCATTCTCCTGCAAATATTTCTCAATACAATTTTGAATTCATTGTTCCCTCTACGATAGCAAGCTGTCAAGGACCTGAGGCAGCATAGCAGCCCCAAACCATGATGCTCCCTCCACCATGCTTCACGGTTGGAATGAGGTTTTGGTGTTGGGGTTTTTTTCCCCCAAACATAGTGTTGCACGTTTCAACTTTTGTCTCATCCATCCACAGAACATTGTCCCAGAAGCATTGTGGAATATCCAGGTGGTCTTTTGCAAACTTCAGAAGTACAGAAATGTTTTTTTTTGGAGAGCAGTGGTTTCCTCTGTGGTGTCCTTCCATTAACACCATTCTTATTCAGTGTTTTCCTTATTTTGGACACATGAACAGAGACTTTGGCAAGTTCAAGAGTTTTCTGCAGGTCCTTTGCTGTTACCCTAGGGTTTTTTTTCACCTCCTTCAACACTGCCAGCTGCGTTCCTGCCGTAATCTTTGCAGGACGCCCACTCCTAGGAAGAGTAGCAACAGTACTGAAGTTCCTCCATTGGTAGAAGATTTGTCTTACTGTGGATTGATGAACACCCAGGCCTTTACAAATGCTTTTGTATTTTTTCAGCTTTATGCATCTCTGCAAGGTCAGAATCTGTCAGTAACCGACCTTTGTGTGCCTTTTTTATAGGGCAGGGCACCTCCAACCCACCTCCAATCTCATTTCATTGATTGGAATACCTGAGTCCAATTAGCTTTTGGAGAAGTCATTAGCCTACAGGTTCACATACTTTTTCCAACCTAGACTGTGAATGTTTAGTATTGACAAGAAGTACAATTGTTTGTGTTATTTAACCAGATTATGTTTGTCTATTATTGTGACTTAGTTGAAGATCAGACCACATTTTTAATTAATGTAATTAATGAGTAATTAATACAGAAATCCAGGTAATTCCAAAGGGTTCACAAACTATTTTTTGTAACTGTATATGCGATACACTATAGATATTATTACTCCAGTCCAGTTGAAAAATCTCACTTTCTTTGCAAACCTTCGTTGTACAGAGATGCGGCTTGTTTAGCAGATTTGAGCAGATTCTCATATGGCTCAAGGTCATAGCAGTCTGTATCAATTAATTTGTTGATTTTGCAAGATTCACAAGAGTTTCGTGTGCAAGCTGACCTCTGAATTCTGTCTTTATCTGTGATGCACAATGCTGAATGCCCCTTCCACATCACTGTTGGAACTAGGTAACAAATATATATATATATATTTTTTGATAACAACAATATTGCACTGATAATGCTCCATGAGACCTGACCAAGCTAATAACCAGCAGTTCAATTATCTAACAGCTCAATAAACTCACCTCGACATGTCTTTTGCAATAATAAATAAACCATTGCCAGCTATGGAAATATCGCTGTTACAGACAGTGCAATGAGCTAATGTGCAGTAACATTGTTTTTTATAGGTATAAGGCAAAGGTAAACCTTTGTTTACTCTGATAAAAAATGGGTTTTGTATTTGACCTTTTTTTGTTGCTTCTCCATGTCGTTGTGTTACATAAACATTGCAAGTGGCACGGGTGCGTGCATGCAGACAATGACATGTAAATCGCTGTTGCTGAAGGGGGGGGGGGTGTCTGCCAAAATTGCGGCCCAGGAGGGGGTTCTCCTCGTGAAAACAAATCGTGGACAGGAAAATATTTTGCTGATGATTTTTCGGACCAGGGGTGTCACCAACAGAAAAATTCCACGAGATCACTCGCAGGAGTCAGGGAGGAGATGCTGATTTCCCGGAGACTCCCAGGACTTCCGGGAGACTTGGAATGTCTGCACTTTAAAGTCATGCTGTTTTCTTTATCCAGAAATGTAGGGCATCTCTGTGTAATAACATGGTTCCAGGCATCCAGGCCTGGACAACAGTGGGAAGGGAGATCTCTAAGGAAAATCAGATTCTTTTTGCACAGTAAGTGGTGTACCACAAATAAGTGGCATCATTCCCTCTGGACAAGAATTTCCAAACCAAAGGCCCAGTATGGTGACAAATTACAGTATGCTGTACCGCAGGAAGAGACATTCTTATAATGTGATGATAAACAAAGGTCCTGATTACTTTCGTTTGGGTTTGATTAAATAACTAAAGATAATATATTTCTGTAAGTTAGAGCTTATACAGTTAATGACACTGTTTGTAAGAGTGAGGGTGTTAACTCAAATTCCATTTTGACTGTGCTTGGGACAGAAGTGCTATACAGTACAAATGAAAGACATTGTTAGTGTTAACACAGAATCTGAAGGTACTGTACATGTATAAACTTCACTTTCAATGATGTATTTGCAATTTAAAACTAGCTGTTTTTTTAGAAAATGCTGAAGAGAAGGGAAAATGCTCTGAAAAGTTTAAACACAAAAATAAAACACAAATATTCAAAATTCCCATTTGTTTAAGAGATGCACTGTGCAGGTCTATAACTGAAGTTCTTCATCCCACAGATTCTTACTCTGCTCAGAAACATTGACTCAGTTAATATCTCCTGCTTCTTCTCTCATTCATGCAGAGGTAGATACAGAGGTAATGGGATACATACTAGTAGAGGTAGCATTAAAAGAAGAACAGCTTTTGGTGAATAAATTAAACTTAAGACTCAGCTGTAAATAATAGACCCAGTACTTCACTTCAGCTGATTTTATCTCTCCAATGGGAAACAGCCAGTAAGCACTTGTCTTGTAAAGTGTGACTGGCAAGGGATTCATAGCCTGGTGTAATTTGAGATTTTTATGATACTGTACATGTGCAAATCAACCAACCATTCACTCCATTTATATTAGGCTCTTTGGTAACAGCCGGTGATCAGATTTAATTGTGCCCCAGGATGTAGACGTCATACTGTACCTGGATGGAAATTGTCAGTGAGGTACCCTGAAAGTGTTTCTCCACCACATTTGCCACTCTCTGTGTCATCCTGAACAAGTCTGCCACCTCCTCAGGATGAAGGTCCCGAAAACGCTCCACTGGTCTGAGAGGGCAGATGAGCACATCTGACATTGATCTGTGTTAAAGAAAATCACAATCCTACTGACAGCCAGAGGAGTCAGTGGTGCATGTTGTTCAATCATTAGTGGTGAATGATTGGTCAGATCCAATAAGAAAAGTGCTTGGGGATCCCTTGGAATGAAAAGTGCTATGTAAATACAACAAATCATCAGTATTTTTACATAGTTATTATTTACATCTTTGTAATAATTAGAAGTATTGGAAAAAGGCAGTTATGATGTGCTATATATTCAAAAACAGCTAAAGCAAAGTTTTTGAACCAGTGTGCTGTAGAATTTTGGATAGATTATATAGATTAAATATTGTACCCAAAGTGTCATGATGCATGTTGCAAACAAGACAGAAACACAGGCCATTGTCTAAGACTGCTCACGTGAGAAGTGTGTGTGGTGGTAGTTAAGTGTTTCAAGTCTCAAGGACACAGAGTGGCTGAAGAGTTTTTACTGTTGTCTGATTCTGTCAGAATTAGATGACTATACCATTAGAGGCAAACTCATATTAAACACTAAACATATGGTTTTCTAAATATTTCCTAAATATTTTGTTTGGAATATTAATAAGCCCAGACCAGGAATATCTACAGTATATAGGATGGGGACAGTGTACTGTACAGTTGTTATGTTTTGGTAAATGTACCATGGGATAAAAAAACGTTGAGAAACACTGGCCTAAAATATGGCCTAGAGAGTCCCAGGGTGATTCTCTGTACAGGGAAATTTATACTACTACAAAATAATACTACACTTCAAAAAGATGTTTCATTCAAGTATGAGACTTTGGCCCCTAAAGCCACTGTCTATTCCTTGTGATTTCTGTTCCTAGTTTTCTAAAGAAATAAAACAGTGAAAATGATTTAGTCACATGGATGGATTATGGTTGATTATGTTTTCTAGTTTATATACTGAGAGAGAGGGAGAGAGATGTGCTAAAGTTATAATTTTAACATACTGTACTCCATGTAGTACAATAACTTGTTTATTTTTCCATTCTCATTTCTTTCAATTTAATATTCATGTTAAATATTTATATATTTAATATTCATAAATTTTAATTATATTAATACAAGTAAAAACATATTCCAGCTAAGTTTTCTTGAATGTTTTTGTCTTCTTAAGCACATTATATTAGCTTTTAACAAACAAAATATAAAAACATGAAAGATGTTGTTGTGATACTATATGTGATACTATATAATGTTTACTTAAGTATACCTACAATGTTCAATAAAACGTTTTTCTTTAACCTAACAGTGAATGATTAGATGCTTCAGAAATGTATCTGTGGCATAGCTGTGATCAAATTACACAACAACAATAATAAATACAACTTTATTTCTGAATTACTGTCAAGTAAATTAAGGCAAACTTGACCACAAAAGTATAAAGATACTGGAAGCAGTTATTAAATAAAATGCAAAACGTTAATGAAAAAATGAGTTTCAGATTTGTCCAGTCTAGTGTTCCTATCAGCAGGTACTGGAAAACCATAGAGTCTACATACAGTATAATGTACAGTATCTTTATGACATAACTGAATCAGTACTTAATGGTTTTATATTTTTATATTACAACTGTTTTCAATTCTATGGTGAAACCCTGCATTGTGTTACTGTTCTGGTCTTTATAGAATATAGGACAGAGCAGATCTTCTCTATCCTGGTGATTTCAATGAGTTCTCACTTATCTGAAGCCTTGAGTGAACCAACAATTTAAATAGATGTTGCTCCTCATTTTGCTTTTCTAAAAGATGTAACAATTTTACATTACAAAATTCAAAAGTTAAAAGATAGGAAACATTAAAATAATATTTATTAATCTATTAGTTCAATAAAGTGTTCAAGTATGTACTTTAGAGCTCCTGTGCAGCAAACGCCTGTGACAATGAGGTTACATGGAACAGGATTGGGAAATGCTGGTTCAGTATGCTATGGTCTACAGGGATATTGTCACATTAAAGCACGATGTGGTCATTAGTCTGTAATTACTGATGCTACTGTACCTGTAGCCATAGCTGACCATGGCTTTCTAAGACCCCTAGGTAAGATCTTGGAAAGGGGCCCTCCAGATCACAATTTGTGCATAATGTATCATTATTAGCTCCCATTCCAAACACATTTGACTATTTAGAGAAAAATAAATGAATTATTAAGCAGCTATGAAGAACACATAACAAATAAATTACAAACAAGAACAAGAAGCACACATTTGAAAAAGATAACAGTGAAAGTAATAACACGAAACATGAATCTGTTAACTTCTAGTAAATCACCTCAAGTATTTCCACATTTTCTAACTAGAAAATGTGGATCGTCAACTGCTCACTATCTACATGAATCTGACAGACTTAAAACTAAATTAAATACAAATGCATTATTATAACAACTTGAGTTGGCATGCAGTACCTCTGCTTTGAGATCCCTTATCCTGAACTTCTTTTCTGTACTTCTTTTTCTCAGTATGTCCTTTTAGAGGATGGTTTTGCAACTACATTATTTAAATTTTTACCATTAAAAAATGTGGGCATAGTTTGCAACACAAGGAACAGGTCAGTTGTAATATTTAATTACATGTTAGATGTAATGACAGATTAATAAAATTGATCAACACAACATTCACTACTTCCTGAAACTAGACAAAGCACAGCATTCGGTGTAGCAGTAGCTGAATCCGCACTCATATTGTCATCTTACAGTGAGGATGATAGTCATTTACTACATAGAAATAAACTACTACACTTATATTTACAATTAATAATACAGTAATTTATAACCGACACACTTTTTAACAGCCTAAATTAGCGCAGGAACAACAGAATGAGCCACTGGAGGAAACTGTTGCTTACATTTAAATGCGGCGAAAATGGAGTGTTGCATATTGAAGTTCCTAGGCAGTCGTCTAGTTCATCTAAGCCTAGGGACAGTGTGTGGCACAGTGTACCTATAGACTCTAGCACAAGAATGTGACACTGAAGCAATGTCATCCATAACCTACACTTTTCTATAGTTCATTTCTTGTATCGTACTACTGTACGTAAAACACATACTGTAGATCCTCTCCATTGTCAATAGTTTCCACAAATTCCCAATTCCAAATGCCAGCACAAGGTAAGGTAATTCCCTTTCAAATAGCTAAAAGTTAGTTCAGGAGTGAGATGTAATACTGTATTTCAAATAAAATACTAAGTAACAATATTTAAATATTGATAAGAAACTATCATGCAGACAATACCATAGTATACAAAATGCAGTTAGTAACAGATTAAATATTTAGAAATAATGTTACATACTGTATTTTTTATTGTATACTAAACACCATTAACTGTGGACATTTTTAAAACATATTGATTTGAATCTGTATTATTTATATTGACTATATATTGTGTAAACAGAGATTGGAGCACCTAACTCAAAAACTGTACAATCAAAGAGTTCTGTACTAACATCCATCCATTTTCTAAATGCTTTCTCAAACACTGGATCGCAGGGGTGCTGGAGCCTATTCCAACAAGCAACAGGCACTTCCTGAATGTCTGACATGCACACACTCACACCAGGGACAACTTTTCCAGAAGCCAGTTAACATGCCAGTATGTCTTTGGACTGAGGGAGGAAACCAGAGAATCTAGAGGAAACCCACACAAACAGAGAAAAACATGCAAACCCTAAGAACTGAACCAGGGCCCCAGCACTGCAAGTGCTGGAAAGACAGCAATGTTAACCACTATGCCATTGTACTAAATTCATTCTAAGAAAATACCAAGATAGAATTATTCAGAGCCTTGAAGTAGAAAGTACACTACATCTACTTTTTTTTTTCCTTTATACAACTGAGTGAGACAACACATGAGAAAGATCGAGGTTTACAACAGCAATGAATAACATCAAGTTTTATCATCTTATAAAAACCAAACCAAACAGCAGGTGGTTTTGAACAGTGTGACTCATTTTTTGTATTATAATATTAATCCAGTTGGTTTCACAATGCCTCATGCTCTACATTTTGTTCCATCCCCGATGAGAGGAGATGAGTAGATCTGTATTTCAAAACATATCTCCCAAGGTCTGTGGTATTTGAAAAAACATGTTTCTTACCACAGATGTATTCATTATTTAGCATTATTAATACATGCTTATGCAATCCTTTATCTCAAAAAGGCAATTAATCTGGAGAGTTTTGAACAACTTTATATTTTATTTAAGATGGTCTACCTTGGCTTAAGACAAAATACCATCATGCATTTAGTGCCCCTCTATGGATGGAGGGCTGTGTGCGTGAGAGAGAAAAAAATAAGAAGAAATTATTGAACAGAACACCTATTGCATCTAGTATTTAACATAATGAGTAATGAAGTGATTGAAGACAGAATGCCAAGATGACTTTCACTGCAGCATTTATTATAGAATGCTTTGCAAAAGTGAAAATTTTAAGTGAATCAAAACTTGAATACTTAAACTGAACACTTTGATGGGTGATAGAAGGTAAATGTCAACAAAAAAATCAAAACCCAATCAAAATGTACAGCATACTGTCAAAACATCTTTTTTTCACCTTAGAAATATCGCAAGACTACGCCCTATGCTATCATTAACTGTGGCTGAAAAGCTGATCAACATATTTGTATTCTCTCGAATTGACTACTGCAATGCTCTGCTCCCTGGTGTATCTAAATCTACTCTGAACAAGCTGCAGTATGTCCAAAATTCAGCAGCCAGAATTCTGACCAGGTCTAGTACAAGTGTTCACATTACTCCTATCCTGGAGTCCTTGCACTGGCTTCCGGTCAAATTCCGCGTAGACTTTAAAATCCTCATGCTCACCTACAAGGCTTTACATGGCTTGGCACCTCAATACCTGTCTGAACTTTTATCGCCCTACTCCCCACCTCGCAACCTCCGCTCTTCAAATTCTGCCCTCCTTACTGTCCCCCAAGCCCGTCTACATTGTATGGGCGACAGGGCCTTCTCCTGCTATGCCCCCAAGCTCTG